AATGCTCCTTTCTTGGCAGAAGGCTATTGATCACGCCAAAATATCGAACGACACCCCACAATTGATTGATTAAACAACTGCTAATTATAAAAACAATAATATTCGTCACAATTGATAACATTGCGCGCACTTCCGTGACTACCGTGTTCCAAAAGCGAAACTATTTCGTTTATACAGCAATGACCAGCACCGAAGTTTCCAAGCCTTGGTTATCCTACGAAAAAATCTTTCGCCTTTTACTAAAGGTTGCCGTGGAGGAGAACAACACAATATGCCTAAGGGTATTTTTTGTCGCCCACCGGAAAATAGGGCGAAAATAGGGTGATCTCATTGGTCGAGAGGTCACGTGACAACTTTATAATCGCTTGTCCAACCTCCTCTGGCTTCAATCTATCGAAACATATGCTTTTAATACCAAATGGTGAAAAATGAAAACATACGAGGCTGATAACAAACTTTAGTCACAATCGCATATTTTCACCTTTGAGCCTAATCAAAGCAGTGCATAACAACAGAACAAAAACAATTAATCACGAACATGTTACAGCTTGCACTGGTTTTACAACATGTTTATTGCGATTATTTACATTCACACTTTTAAAAAGAGATTATGCGTCATGCCTTCAACTTGACCACCATCTCTATCGATAAAAAGTTAACATCGCCGGCACATTAATTGCTTGGAATGTTCTCCTGATGTGATTTATTCCTACTTACCATGCATTAGCGGGAAGTTTATTCGGAAGCAAAATTCTTCAATTAAGTCCTAAAGGGAGTTAATTTTCAATGGTTTTAGTCCCAACTCTCAGAGGTGAGAATATGCGATTTTTACTAACACTTTTTATCAGCCTCCTATTTGCTCATTTTTTCATCATTTGGTATTAAAAACATGTCATTCGATAGTTAACTAAAAGCCTAACCTTTCCGAATGTGAAAAAAATTCATTTGCTGGAATGAGTAGTTCACGTACAATAGCGCCAAAGTTGGATTACCTTTTTTTATACACCCTGTGAAGCATAATTTGATGCGTGCACATTATAAGATTAAGCAACAATATTCGCGTTAGCTTGTACGTGCGCTTCATTAGCTCAGTGGTTAGAGCACTGGTCTTGTAAACCAGGGGCCGGTTGTTCGAAAGATGGATAACTTATCCAACGGATAAGTCCTATCCAACGGATAAATCTGCTATCCAGTGGATAGTTATCCATTGGATAAAAACGCGTTGCACGAAGCGTGATAGTGAAGTGGATAGCTATCCAATAGATAAGGTAAAATTTACCGGAAGAAAACAAGATTATCCTGAAATTTCGTACCACAACGTCAGCTGTTGCTAAGCATTTACAACATTGAATTCATAATCATTACGAATTCTCGAGTATAGTTACTGAATGGAAAAGACTTGAACAAGTGATTTGCTCGAACTTTGCACTTCACATCATAGTGATTTTATTAATCAAACACATTGCAATTTTATTCCTTGACCTTGCAACGCTTTGCCTTTCGGTTCCATAGCAAATTTAGGAACACTATTTTAATGTTCGTGAATGAAATTACTAGATATTAGCAAGTTTCCTTGGAATAGGTTGAATCTTTCTTTGCATATTCGCGTTTATAAACTGATTAGAAGCGTATAGTAAATTTACCGCCTGTTATAAATGCGAGGATCTCCAAAAAATCGCCGCTCGGAACGGAATGTGTAGGCAACGTGAAACGCTGCTGCGACAAATTGCACTTCGAAAACATTTTTAATAGTGAATACAATCATGATGTGTATTAGTTTGTTGAAACACAGTAACAGGAATATGGCATTTTATTCCTATTTTATATAAATGTTTACAGTGTTACCTTGTATCTTTGAATTTATCCACTGGATAGCGGATTTAAACCACCTCCGGACCTTGGATAAATTTATCCGGTAGATAGCGATTTTTATCCGCTGGATAAAGTTATCCAAGCTTCGTGCAACGCAAATCACACGCTGGATAAAACTTATTCGTTGGATAGCGACTTATCTGTTGGATAGCGACTTATCCACCTTTCGAACAACCGGCCCCAGGGGTCCAGAGTTCAACTCTCTGATGAGGCTCTTGTTGTCATACTTTTGTAAATTATATGCAACTATAGCTATTAACTATGGCAACTATATAATTAATCGTATTCAGAGTCCGAAGTGCTAACCATTACACCACAGGACATAAACACCTAGAAAAATTATTGAGAAATTCCTGGCTCTACAGTATATCTATACACGCACATTATTAAGATAAAGTGATTATATTCCCTGTATTTCAGGTATGGACTTCCGCTTTCAACATGCATGTGTCCCAGAGAGTCATTGAAAAAACACTAAACTGCAAGGATTATTTATCAAGCAAACGGATTGTTGCAACGAAAATAAATTGGGTTTTTTAATTCACTAATTAGTACGATAAAAATGTTGATTTTATCTTTCATTGATAAAAGAGAAGGGAGCGAGCGGAGTTGAACCACTGACCTCTCGGTCTGCAGTCGAATGCTCTACCACTGAGCTACACTCCCTGATCGTGCATACCTGTTTGATGCTATTCTCCTAAAAGAACATTTCCTGCTGTTCTTACCTTATTCGAAATAGCACAAGTTTTATATTCATGGCATAGAAGCAGTGTGTAGCAAGCAGGGTGGCGCAGTGGAAGCGTGCTGGGCCCATTACCCAGACGTCAATGGATCGAAATCATTTCCTGCTAAAATTGTCATTTCAATAAAAGAGATTTTTCAGTGCACATTCTAGGTGTCATTTTTTGTTCAGAAAGGTAATTTTTCTTAAATGGAGTGTAGGAGAAAAGCCTGAACTCAAAAACTATACTCCCCGATCGTGCATATGTTAGATTGGTTATCGTTATTGGTTATTTGTAGACATAAAGTATTAGGCTTACAACTAATGAGCGCGGGCTCAGAGTAGCGCAGGCTCGAAGAACAGCATGCTTTGGACTTAAAAAAAGAAAAAAGATATATATTTTCGGGCGAGATTTCCCCGTTTAAGTGAAATAAAGTGACTGAAACCGTATGATTGTTTTTTTATTATTGTTTAACTATGTAAAACAAGAACCCGTGTTACATTTTGGGGGCTCAGGCGGGAAATTTCTACAGTGAAATTCGTCAAAACAAACTGACGATAAAGCAGGAACGCGAAACGTAATATGAGTGGTGTACTTGGAGACAGAATACATTGAGATATAAACAGATTTACTGTGCATACAGCTGGAACTTTGCATTCGAAAGGTACAAAAGTATGCAAAAGCCTCATCAGAGAGTGAACTCTGGACCCCTGGTTTACAAAACCAGTGCTATAGCCACTGAGCTAATGAGGCGTATGTGCAAGCTTAACACGAATATAATTGTATGAATATTTAACTTAATAATGTGCATGCGCGTAGCAAACTACATAATTATATATTATGCAGCCAACATTCGTCAGTAAGTTTGATAGATTTTTAGGGTCTGTGGTGTAATGGTTATCACTTCGGACTCTGACTTCGAGAATCGGAGTTCAATTTTTGGTAGAAACTCTTTGAAATCATTCATTCTCCGTCTTTATGTATTTTTTTATTTCTGGCTTTCTCTTACAGGTATCAAAGAATATAGCATATGACAGGTATGCTGCATGGAACGCTCAGAGAGAGTAGCATATAGTGGTACAGCATCCGACTGCAGGTTGACAGGTCACTGGGTTCAGTGGTTCAACTCCGCTCGCTCCTTCCTGTTCTGTAAATTAAAGAAAAATTAAATATTTTTATGGTACCCATTAGTGCATGAAAAATCCCAATTTATTTTCGTGGGAAAAAGCCGTACGTTTGATAAACAATCCATGCAGATTAGGTTTTTTGAATGACTCTCTGGGACACATGCATGTTCTATATTATATTTATAAACCAGGGCTCCATACCTCGAATAGGGGGAATATATGTAAATACTTCATCCTAATAATGTGCGTGTATATAGACTATACATCACAGCGCGGGTCAGATGTATATGATGAGTCGTCAAAATAGAATACGTATTCGGAAGAAAAATTGAACTTTTTCATGCTATTCAAAAGGTTTCTCTTTGATAGCGGTACAGAAATACACCATTGAGAACCAGCCATTATATTTCCGTGTTGATATGTCTCAAACACCAATTTCTGCTGTGTCTTTCTGTAGATGGTTAGGTTCTGTGGTGTAATGGTTAGCACTTCGGACTCTGAATCCGGGAATCCGAGTTCAATTCTCGGTAGAACCTTGCTGGAACTGTTAATTTTATGTCTTTATGTAAATTTTTTATCTCTGGTTTTCTCTTATAGCCCATTTGAGAAAAAATACATGTTTTTGAATAAGATTTCGAAAAGATCTTTTTTATTGAAATGATAAGTTTAGCAGGAAATGGCTTCGATCCATTGACCTCTGGGTTATGGGCCCAGCACGCTTCCACTGCGCCACCCTGCTTGCTACACACTGCTTCTATGCTATTAATATAAAACTTGTGCTATTTCGAAAAAGGTAGGAACAGCAAGAAATGTTCTTTTATGAGAATAGCATCAAACAGGTATGCACGATCAGGGAGTGTAGCTCTGTGGTAGAGCATTCAACTGCAAATCGAGAGGTCAGTGGTTCAACTCCGGTCGCTCCCTTCTCTTTTATAAATGAAAAAAAAATCCAACATTTTAATCGTACTATTTAGTGAATTAAAAAACCCAAATTTATTTTCGTTCCAACAATCCGTTTGATTGATAAATAATCCTTGCAGTTTAGTGTTTTTTCAATGACTCTCTGGGACACATGCATGTTCTATAAATTTGTAAAACGGGAGTCCATACCTGGAATACAGGGAATATAATTACTTTATCTTAATAATGAATTTCTCAGTAAATTTTCTAGGTGTTTATGTCCTGTGGTGTAATGGTTAGCACTTCGGGCTCTGAGTAGGATAAATTATATAGTTGCTATAGTTGCCTATATACTTTTGTAAATACAAAAGTATGCAAAAGCCTCATCAGAGAGATGAACTCTGGACCTCTGGTTTACAAAACCATTGCTCTAACCACTGAGCTAATGAGGCGTATGTGCAAGCTTAACACGAATATAATTATATGAATACTTTATCTTAATAATGTGCATGCGCGAAACAAACTACATAATTTTATATTATGCAGTCAACATTCGTCAGTAAGTTTGATAGATTTTTAGGGTCTGTGGTGTAATGGTTATCACTTCGGACTCTGACTTCGAGAATCGGAGTTCAATTCTTGGTAGAAACTCTTTGAAATCATTCATTCTCCGTCTTTATGTATTTTTTTATTTAAGCCTTTCTCTTACAGGTATCAAAGAATATAGCATATGACAGGTATGCTGCATGGAACGCTCAGAGAGAGTAGCATATAGTGGTAGAGCATCCGACTGCAGGTTGACAGGTCACTGGGGTCAGTGGTTCAACTCCGCTCGCTTCTTCCTGTTCTATAAATTAAAGAAAAGTTAAATATTTCTATGGTACCCATTAGTGCATGAAAATTCCCAATTTAATTTCGTGGCGAACAGCCGTACGTTTGATAAACAATCCATGCAGTTTAGGTTTTTTGAATGACTCTCTGGGACACATGCATGTTCTATATTATATTTTTAAACCAGAGCACCATACCTGGTAGAGGGGAATATTTATAAAAATACTTCATCTTAATAATGCGCGTGTATAGACTATACATCACATTACGGGTCAGATGTGTATGATGAGCTGTCAATAAAAAAGCAGTGCTAAACTCAAGTTGCAATCTCCAGATAAACTTTTTCCATGCAGTATCAATGCTATCAATATACATTCAAGGAGGAGATCTAGTATGCATAAATGTAGACGTTGTAGACCTTATCAATCATCATATACAAGTACTAAACATCAGGAAAATGAATTCGTGCGACTTTTTTATAGTGCGTGGCACATTTTTCATAACCCAAGAATAATTTGTAACTCAAAAATAACACTGTAACATTTTCAACTATCATATCACCGTATGATTACCATTGCCATCGTCTACAGGATAATCTCAGTAACGGTGTTTGTGAAAGCTACAGAATTGATCGACCAAACTTTAACACTAATATTTTTCCGTTTAGTTTGAGCTTCGCAGGAATAACTATTTTTCGCCGATGATTCATTTTACCTTTTTCAAAAGTATTACTGGTTTGCCTTATTAGCTCAGTGGTTAAAGCACTGGTCTCGTAAACCAGGGGTCCGGAGTTCAACTCTCTGATCAGGCTTGATTTTTTTTAACTGTGTATGGTAAGGGTGAGTAAAAGACTTAAATATTTGTGATCATTACGCATTTAATAATCGCCGTGAAAAAATTTACCGGCAAAATTCGTTTTTTGAAACATTTGTTTACATTTCTATTTGCGCAAGCTTTTTTTCTGGGTGCCTCCTTAGCTCAGTTGTTAGAGCACTGGTCTAGTAAACCAGGGGTCCAGAGTTCGAATCTCTGAGGAGGCTTTCCACATTTTCAACTTAAATTTAATAGGTATCTACGAACATGAACGAGTGTTTTGACCGGCTTATTGTATATAACGATGTAACGTACCTACCGCTTAAACTTGGGCATGGTAAATAATAAAACTTCTTGTGTAGCCTCATAGTTCAGCTCCGCAGTAAAAATGTTTAGAACTGAATGAAACCAATTCCGTCGTTCTAGACTCTATTAAAACCTAGTTTGTTATCGTGTTTACAATAATCGTCTATTTTCTACCATTGCGTTTGTCTGGTCTCGATACTAACAGTGATTTAAGATTCCTACAAGTCTTTTTTCACTCCGAGTAACTCTGCTTGTAATAGATATGACATGAAAAGATATTTATATTATACATCGCCTTTATTGTGAGCGATGAAATATGCGAAAAAGAAAACTTCCCGTGTTCTGCACTTGGCTTGCTGGTCTAGTGGTATGATTCTCGCTTAGGGTGCGAGAGGTCACGGGTTCGATTCCCGTGCAAGCCCTGTTCGCCTCTCTCGCTTGAACTGAAGAGAACGGCCTTTGGCAACGATTCGCTGATGGTCTAATTATGTTGTATTTTCTTGAGAAAAAAATGTGGTACGTGTTTTCGTTCAAACATTAGATGCACTCTCTCAACTTAATCTAAGTATCAACCTCATACAAAGATTGTGCGCTAGGATTTTGCATCAATGTAATTATATCGACAGTGTCCACGCATGTTTTTTACGGGTGCATGCCTCTTTAACTCTATGGTTAGAGCACTGGTCTTGTAAACCAGGTGTCCAGAAACGAGGCTCTTCACATTTTCCACCTAAACTCAATAAGTATTTGATTTCTATACTAATTCATTGTATTTTTTTGTGTTCTATTGTTATCATCAACCAAGAGCAAAGCTTGTTCACATAGGTAACGTATACCTAACCCTTAAACTTGGGCATGGTAAATAATGAAACTACTTGTGTAGCCTCATCTTATATAAATTCTAATTCGAAATAAAAAAGCGTGTAATATATTATACTGTAGAGAACAACAAATAAAAATAAAAACTTAACGCCCATGACCAAAACTGCTAAGGCTCGAAATCAGAATTAGCAGCCATTGATTGCGGTTGAATTGCTGTCTCGGATATGCTGCTGAATTCTCAATCACTGATGCATGATCTATTTACACGCCCTGTGAACTGCCTGATTTCTATCAATAATTAATTCCTATGATAAAAGCTTCCGCCAACCGTCACAGCGAGTTCCACGAGACCCTTTGTTTTTTCTCAGTCTTATTATAATTCCAAAATTCTGCTGGCAATTGAGAAGCAGTTGGGAAGGCATACCAATTCCAGAGAACCTATTAATGTGCCCATGACGTAAAATCTGTGGTAAAATAAACAGGTAAGTTCCAAGCTATCCGTGGTAAAGCAAAATAAGCGACTCCTAAGCAATTATGTAGTCGTGGCCGAGTGGTTAAAGCGACAGACTTGAAATTTGTTGGGATATTCCCACCAGGTGGAATTTCGTTTCAAAACGTACGACATAGTTTTTTTTGCATTTTTTAGAAAATACCAATCAGAGTAGTTAAAATTTTTAATACTTGATGTGAAATCGTTAATATTGTACCCTTTTAACGCAGGTGGCAAAATTTATGCATTCTGATTCGGTTACTAGAAAATAATGCAAATAAACATGGTGATTGGACTAAATTACCTCTTGTCAAAGGGACCTCTATTCAGAAATTATTGCTCCTTTATAGGCTCGTTTTCAACAGCAAAATGGGATGTTTTCCGCACGAATTAACGGAAGTCTCTTAAATCTTAGTTTTTCATGTTATGTGCCGGAATTTTTTTAAATTACCGAAAGGTAATGAACTATTCCCCCGGGTGTGGCTTGCTGGTCTAGTGTTCTCGGGTTCAATTCCTGTGCAAGCCCTGGTTGTTCTTCCCATTTGAAAGAACTCTTTGTTAGATTATAAATTGTTAATTATTTTATTGGCGTGGTGTATTTTTTCCGGACAGAATACAGTATACCCCAAACACACTCTCATGCACTCAGTAACTTATTCTTAATACTAGAAATACATGCATGCAAAATCCCCTCGCCTGAAGCAATAAACATATATTTCCATCACTGAAATTCTATAATACTCGTTTCTGCTGAATGATCGAAGTCGTAAAGTAAAATCCTATATCTTGGTACAATTATAGATTCGACTCTCGAGCTATCAAATTCCTTTATAATCATAATTGTGCTACGAATAGTTTTTAATACAACAATTTTTAGCGAAATTTCAATTACTTTTTAAACAGATTCACCTTTAAAAATAAATACCTTCAAAATCAAAATGATTTCGACGAAATTGACGAATAAATTCAAAGATGTCTCATACATTTGTTGATAAATCCACATATTAAACTTACAAAATACTTGCATGCTTTAAAATACAAAATCTACCTGTTCAAAAACGCATTAAAAATGCTTCAAAATCGTCGATTTTTTATCATGCATTTGAATGAAAGTTTTTCTATCCGAAGGCATCTTTACATTATATTTTAATCAATTATATTTTAATCAATTAGACTATCCAAATGAAAAGTATTACTTAAGAATAAGTTTTATAATTCAAAAATCAAAATATCGGTTATGATGACGTGCCCAAATTTTAATTTAACCAATCGCACCTTTGTAAACGTTTGCAACGTTTGCTAGTTACCAGTTCGTCTTAAATTCGTCTTAAACTCACGCACGCGCATAACTTACAAAGACGCCCAACGTGAACGATAACTTCTGACAAACATCCCTATTTAGCTTGAAGCCAAAATAGTTTTTCTGAGTTTTCAGACGAAATACTTGACGCCAGACGTTGGGCTGTGTGTCAAATTAAAGCTATATTGAAAAGTTACGTTTTGTGTGAAAATTTCAAGACTTAAACTTCAAAGGAAATATTAAAAAAAAACAATTACAAATCGGCAAAAAAACGGGAAATTTTCAAATTTTTTTTAGATATTTCCCTTTAAGCTCAAGTCTCGAAATTTCTACACGAAATATAACTTTTTAATCGCTTTAATTTCATATACGGCTCAAAATTAGGCGTTAAGTATTTCGGCTCAAAACTCATAGTGTTAATTTGTTCTCGTGCTACGGTGAGATTTATGTAATAAAAACCAAAACCATTGAAATCACCCATAACAATATAACCAGGGGGCTGCGTCTTCAACTAATTAACTTCTCCTGACGAAGGCCCTTTATAGGTCGAAACGTCGAGAATTAGTGTCTTTCACTAACTTAAAAATTTCAGCCAAAATGGCAAGGGCTGTAGAATTTATTTTACATGTTAAGACATTTCAGAAAATTTTCGAAAATCGTAAATTTTGTCCGAAATGGTAGGGATACATATCCGTCACTATTTGGGTCGAAATTATATTTTTATTTTATTGTGTGCGGAGATTATTCTGGGAACACTAGCTCTTGTCGATTTTAGTTTAGAGTGACCAGAAGCGTTTTGAGTTGGTTGTCCTATCGTTACAAAGAGAGTTGATGTAAGCTAATCTACTTTCCTTCATCATCTGCTTCTACAAGGTGCGCACGGACTTGCA